CGCCCCCGCCGACAACCTGCTCTGGGGGGATCAGCGGGGTCACCTCTAAGGCATTTCACTGCTCCAGGCTGCCTCATGCCCAACAAATCCCTCCTGAGCTCTGCTGCTCAGCTCGCACCCCCACGCTGGGGGGGGAGACCCCTTTCTGATGGGTCTCTTTTCCAAAGACCCTTTTCTGACACTTTTCATCCCGTGGGCGACTCCAAGCACCTCCCGTGGTTACTGGGGTACCTCGGTTCCGCCCCACAGCTCCAGGACCAGCCTGGCCGGGCGAGTCCAGCTCGCAGGTTCCCCAACCCCCTTCCAGGGAGCCCCCTCCAGCCCCTGCCCCTCTGGAGCTCAGCAGCCCAGGCAAGGGCTCCCTCCTGCAGCCCAGGGCAGCGCGTGCACGGAGCCGCCCGTCCCTGCACATCGATGACCGTCCATCAAAAGGCAACTTGCTGAGGACAACGGTGACACCGGCCCGGGCTCCTCCCTCCAGCTTTGCTCAGAAGGGCAGGACAGCTTCCACAACCGAGATACTTACTCCTACAAAGGGTGCCAGCTCCGGGGGGACAGGGAGAGGTTTGGCACCAGGGATGGGGTCAGAGATGATGAGGTTGGATTTGGACGTAGACAGAGGGCTGGGCATGATGGTGCCATTGCTGCTGGCAGCCATCTGCTGCATCAGCTGTATAGCGCGGTCCGGGATCTTGTTGGGATCCGAGCAGGACTGCTGCCACAGCGGCAGCTTCTGCGTCAGCATCTCCTTCCCCTGCAACCGAGGAAAACGAGGAGTGAGGGCGCAGGGGCACGGCAAAACCCACCCAGCTCCGCACCCCTCCCTGGGGAGCGCTGCGTGGATCCAGAGCTGGCCTGATCCTGGCCACAAGATTGATCGACTCCTCCATGCATGGCACGGACGAGATAAAACACAGGGACACGCTGCTTCCAGGCTCTGATGGCAGCTGAGCCAGGGAGGTGTCATGAAAAATGGGAAGGGGGGGAAGGAGAAAGTAATTCATCTCCCCAGCTTACTGTGAGATGCCCTGGGTGGGGCAGCTCCAGGAGCCATGGGGAGCCAGGCTGGGTGCTCGGCTCAGCGAGAACAGCATCTCTCAGCCCAGCAGAGAAATAAAACCCGGC